CATCTCTGTCTTACCCACTGGACTCCTTGAGGACAGGGCCCATCCCTTTTGTACTTCAGTGGTCCCCCTCACCCCCAAGATACTGTGTTCTTGCTAGGGCCGGCCCCAAGGAGGGCTGAAGAGAGGTATTTGGAATTATCCAGTGGAACTGGAAATTGCTGCTATAGATAGAAGCCAGAAGCACAAGAATTTCCTCTGTCCTCAAGCTTAGAGACTAGATGAGGAACTGAGACAGGCACAGGGCACAAAGAGAAACATTAGTACTAAATCTCAGGGTGCAGACTGTATTTCCTTCTGGAGCTCAGAAAAGGGAGAGCTGGTATGGCTGGAGGGGCTGAAAAGGGCTTCCTGGTGACGTGGTCCTTTTACCTGGCCTGAGTCTACAGCTGGAAAAGTGGGGTCTGTGTTGGGAGTGTGGAGGACACAGGCTCACTGGGGTGTTCAGCGCACAGTGAGGAAAGGTGGAGTTAAGGCTGGGGACATGGGGAAGGGTCCAGTCTGCCCAGAGGCTCACTAGAAAGTGGAATGCCCTCTCTTTCCATTGTGGGCTGCCTCTTTCCTCCTTCCCGATCTTGGGAAACCCCAGAATTTGAGCTTCAGAAACTCTAGAGCTGAAAGGCCTGGCCTCAAGACCTGGCTCAGTCACTTGGTACCTGTGTGACCTCAGGCGTTTATGCTCCCTGAGCCTCAGTGTAGCCATCTGTAAAATGGGGACAGAATACCACCCACATCATCTGGTTGCTGGGAGGATGGGAGGAGATAATTCCTGCAGAGCACTTGGCACTGCCTGGCACATTGTAAGGGGCCAATAAATGGAAGATGTTCTTGTTTTCTGGGCAGACTTTGTCACTGATGTCAGTTCTGAACTCTGACTGGCCCCACCAAGGAGAGAGCCTCAGCCCTCAGGAGCCAGGTCCACCAGCCAACTCAGACAGTGACCCAAGCCACTTGCCAGAGAAGTACCCTGAGGGGACTTCTGCTCAGGTACTGGGAGCCCTTTCCTTCCCTCTGAGACCAACACGCCCTCTATCCTACAGCCCTCCTCCCACTTCCACCGTCTGAAAAGTAGGTAGCTTTGGTGCCCAGCTTCCCATGTCTCTTTTCTCTTTGCAGGAATCCCTGTCTCTACAGCCCCCTCCGGATGGGATGTGGGGGTTTGACTTTAAACTTAATCACGTGAAGACACATTACCTCTCCTGGCGTGGGGCAAGGGGGGCGTCTGTGTTGTCAAAGCACACTCTAGGTTTTGGCCCCAGTGGAGTAAAGGGAGCTCATTTAAAGCATAACAAAGGATACCGTTTTGGGGAATGGGACCTCCCCAACCTGCCTCAATCAGACCACAGATGCAGGTGTGGGTCAGCCATCCTTGTCTCGATCTGGAAAGAGGGGGTGCTTGGAAGTCATTCCAGATTGGAGAAGAGGTGACAGTGAGGTGGGAGGAAAGAAAAGCAAGGCAAACCTAACCACCCCTCTCCTGCATCTCCTCAGGGTCCTGAAGTTCTGAGCTTGGGGCTCCCTGGCCTGGACACCCACGGGGCCCCCAACTGGCCTGAGCTTCGGATCCTCCTGCAGCAGCTGCCTCCACAGGACAGTGATGTGGGTCCCCCTCTCTCCAGTGTTCCGATCTGTCGCCTCCCTCTCTCTATTTACTGTGGGTCCAGAAGCCAGAGGACATGGATATAAGGCCTGGGCTGGCTATGCCACTAATTGGGGAAGTCATCCCCCGTCCCCAGCCTGAGTCTTCAAGTCTACACAATGGGGGCAATAGCATCTGCTCTGCCCACAATGCTTAGCTGAAGAGCAAATGAGAAAATGGACATGAACCACTTTTGAAACCGATAATGGAATGTACAAATGTAGAGAGTATGGTTAAGTATTTATTGAGACCCTATGTGTGCCCAGACTAAAGTCTTACACTTCAGTTTGGGGAGCTGGGGGGCAGGGGGCAAGACAGGAGAACATGGAATAAATTGGAAAAACAATGGAAAGTGATAGTGAGTGCCAGCTCATGGCAGGTAAGTCTCTAAATTTGTGGTGACAGGGCTCAGTGCTGTGGGATGTCAGGACCCGAGTGGTGGCCATTCCTTGGGGGAGGGGAGACTGGGGTAGACTTCCTCCATATCTCTTCCCTCTCTCCCTCTCCTTCTCAGTGCCCCTCTGTGTTATCTCCTGGAGCTTCTACAACCTTCCTTTGACCTAGCAGCTAAGCCTCCTCTCCCCAGTCAAACTCCAGTCTTGCCTGCTGGGGCTCTCCCAGTCTCAGTGGGGGCCTGTTTCTGTAGGAGCGCTACTGCCTGGCCCTTGCGGAGGATGAGCTGGCCGAGCTGCGGCTCTTCTGTGCCCAGCGGAGGCGGGAGGCCCTGGGACAGGGGGTGGCCTGCAGGGTATCTCCCAAGTTGGCAGAACACACCTGTGAGAAGGTATGTGGTGTTCCCCCTGCCCCATTCCCCATTGCCTTCACACTTCAGCAGAAGGGGCGAGCTCCAGGGACTCAGGTGGAGTAAAGGGGGTTGGGGATTGACAGTTTGGCACACTTGAAAAAGAGAAGCCAAGTTTAGAGGTTCTTGGTGGGGCCTGCAGTGGAGGTGGGCTAGCCAGGGGTCTAGGGAGAACAGTTGGGTTGGGGTTGGGATGGAAGAGCCAGGAGGGAAGCCAGGAGTGTGCTGGGGCCTCTGCCCAGCCCAGCACACCCCAACCGGCAGTGCAGGGAGCGGCTGAGGCCCGGGGAGTACGGAGTATTCGCAGCCCCGGCAGGAGAGCGGCGCGGCTGGCACCCGGCTTGCTTTGCCTGCCAGGCCTGCGGCCAGGCCCTGATAAACCTCATCTACTTCTACCACGACGGGCATCTCTACTGTGGCCGTCATCATGCAGAGCTTCTGCGACCACGCTGCCCGGCTTGTGACCAGGTATGGCTGGAAGAGGGTTGCTTGGAGGGGACTGCCCAGGGTCCAACGTGGCAGGATATAAGGGGACAACTCTGCCAGTACCGTGGAGTGAAGAACTCATAACCAGCATGGGACCTTTTGTTCCCTGTTGCTCTGGGGATGGGGACCTGTTGCCTTGTGCCCTCCCCCACTGCAAGCAGAGTCCCCAGCTTTTCTTGGACTGAGAGAATTTCTCCGGAGCAGGGACTGTTGGACAGACATTGGTTGGTTTCAGTTTGCCGGGTCCCCAGTGCTGTGCCCTCTCAGGAGAGGACCTGCCATAATGTCAGCATAAGAAGCCTGAGGAACCCTGGGTTGGGAATCCAGGCAACTGGGGTCGCACTTTTTCAGGCTGTGCCACCTGCTAGCGGGATCCTAGCTAGGCCAATCAGCCCTCCCTGCAACCGAGAGTGGTTGAGTAGATCAAATGGGATGTCTGTAGAGGTGCTTTAGCGTTAACTGGGTGTAAGGCGTGGTTATTAGGTGAATGAATGAGTGAATGAATGAATGAATGAATGAGCTGTTCTCCCTGCCTCTCCCAGCTGATCTTCTCCCGGCGCTGCACTGAGGCGGAGGGACGGCGCTGGCACGAAAACCACTTCTGCTGCCAGGACTGCGCTGGGCCCTTGGGCGGGGGACGTTATGCTTTGCCGGGGGGCGGCCCTTGCTGCCCCAGCTGCTTTGAGAGTCGCTATTCGGATGCCGGCTGGAGCCAGGCCCTTGCACTGGAAGGGAGGGCCTTGCTAGGTATGGGAGAAGGTGCAGATCAAAGGGGAATGGGGCAGCGGCTTGGGCTGGGCTGAGGAGGGGATTCTCCCGGGCTGGGACCCTCGCCCCGGTCCCACGCCGTCCCGTCCCCCCACCGCACCCCCCAGACCCGAGCCTTGGGGCCCGCAGCTCTCACCGCGCGTCCCTGGCCGGAGCGCTCCAAGGGCCTCCCGAACCCATCCCTCGCCACCGTTGGGGACGCGGCCGCCCTCTGGTGGGCGGCGGCGGGGAGGGGCGGGGGAGCCCGGGAGAGGTGTCGCAGCCGCGGTTGCGGTGCGCACGGCTCAGGGGCGGGGCGGGAGGCCGGACCCCAGCTGGAATGGGCTTCTGGGGCCCGCCCCGCTCAGATCCGGGATAGGGAGACTCCCGGCTCTGAGATGGGCATTACTGACCCGGCCCGGAACAGGGGAGGCGAGACTCGGTAGAGTTGAAGAGGGAGACTGCGCCCCGCTGGACGCCGCTACCATCTCCCCGGCAGCCCTCCCCGTCGCTGCCTCCCGCTCCAGTCCGGGAACCCAGAGGGGGCTGCTTCGATCCAGTCCGGAACAGGAGGGTCGAGCTGGGGACGAGGCGGAGGCACCCAAAGGGCGGGAGCGGGGCCGCCTGGAGACGCCCCTCGATGCCAAGCAGGATGCCCCCTGCCCCACCTGCTCCTCTTCTTCTGACTCGGAACCCGAAGGCTTTTTCTTAGGCCAGCGCCTTCCCGGTCCCTGGAAGACCCCCGGAAGCCTCCAGGCTGGGGACAGCGACAACTCCAGGAAGCACTGCACCATTTGCTAGTGGCGCAGCCTGGAGAAGGGGGAGGGGATATGATGTTAGGTGGGAGAGCGAGGTTTTCCTCCTCCTATAAAAATCCTAGACTGAACGCAATCTGGGGCACGCCTGGGAGAGGCGGCCGGATCACAAACTTGGGAGTGCTCGCTCTTAAGCCTGCGCAATCTATGACTTCTGATGGAGACGTTCTTGGGGAACCCCACCTCCCAAAGCTTCACATCCCCTGCGGAACTAACCCCTATGACCACCCCTCCACCCCTCCCACCCCCCCCAGGGACAGTCCCATCCTCAGCATCTTTCTGAGCCAATGAAGTGGTCACTCAGAGACCACGTGCGGCGATGCCCAGGTTGGCCAGCCCAAGGCCTAGAGGGAGCCGGAGGTGGGACGCCATCCGGCGACAGTACTGCGGGGCCGCGCTTCCCCTCTCGCGGCGGTCGTGGAGGCGGAGCCCGGGAGTTGTCCCTCTCCCCTAGGAGCCAAACCCAGCCGGAACAGCGGCGCCCCCTGCCGCCAGTCGCCGGCGGAAGTGCGAGGCCGGAAGTTGCGTGCGCCCCCGGCGCCCTCACGGTGCGTCGGGAGAGGCCTTGCGGAGCTCTAGCGTGCCGCTATGGCTTCCAGTGGGGTCGGCGTGAGCGCTGCTGGCGCGACAAATGAAGCACCAGAGATTCCGGACAACGTGGGAGATTGGCTCCGGGGAGTCTACCGCTTCGCCACCGACAGGAACGATTTCCGGAGGTAACCGAGACCCCGGGAACTTGTCCCTTTCTGGTCCTCCGCGTCCCCTGCGTACCTCCTCTACTTGCTGTCTTCGCCCAGGCTGGCCCCTCTACGTTGCTAGCGTCTTGGCCTCTTAGTGGCTCTGGCTGCGCTTTGGAGAGGCCCTTGACTGGTAGAGTTCCTATGCAGCAGAACCGATCTTTTGAGTTTCTGGGCTATGTCTGGAGAATCTCACCCTGTTCTGGGGGACTCGGGGAAAAAGAGGCGCCAACACAAACAGACTTTAAAGCCCTGGGCGAGTGCTTAATTGGCCTTTGCATTTGACTCTGCTCTTATTAGAGACAGAAACGAACTCTTAAGTAACCGTGTAGGTCTTGGGCAACCTTACTGTTGGAAAACCCTGCGGTCCTGCGATTCTAGAATAGTGTTTTTGCCTCGGAAGTTTTTTCCAGGTGATGATGGTCTTTTCCCCCCAGTATCTTTCGTTAATTAGACAGGTGGTTCAGTGACCACAGGGTTAATGAAGTGTCCTTTTTCCAGGAACTTGATCCTCAATTTGGGACTTTTTGCTGCGGGCGTTTGGCTGGCCAGGAATTTGAGTGACATTGACCTAATGGCACCTCAGCCTGGGGTGTAGCCAAATAGGTAAGCACTTAACTACTGCTCTGCGTGTCTCGGAGCTTTAGAGGCTGACAGAACCAATAACTTATACCATCTATGCACAAAATACAGAAAAGAGACTCGACAGAAGTCCCTTGACTAGCCCTAGTTAAATGTGTTACAGATGTTGCAAGAAATTTTGAGTCTTACTAATTTTCTTCCAGTACTTTTTTATATTTCTAATGCCACGTGTTGTCCTGTGGTCTGATTGCAGACACATGGAACCCCCCGTGCTGTACTTGAACCTTCCAAAAACAGAGCCTCCAATCTGTGACTGTCACAAGACTTGCCCTGATGGAAGTTGAAGTTTCATACAGAGGGGCACCTTTCCTGCCCGACTGATTTCCTTTTGTCCGTTGAGCCCGCTCAGAACTCCGTTCTCTGGTCAGCAGTCAGGTTTCAGCCAAAGTGTTGTCCTCTGTTCTGTAAAGTTCTGTACATAGTTCCTAAGTTTCTGCAGGGGGTGATCTTTGTGCTTGTCCTGAGGAATAACCTAATGGTATTTTAACAAATATTTGGAATAAAGACTGCACACAAAGAATCATTTTATTCTTTTAATAAGAAACTTCAGCTTACAAAAACAAGGTGTAAAAAGTCAAGATTTACAAAAATCATAAAAACATGATTTATAGTTCACACTCAAGAGACAGGAACAAGCCCCAAACACAGATTGTAACAGAGGTGGTTTGCTTTAAAAGGAAAAAAAAAAAAAAAAAAAAAAAAAGGGAAACTGTAGCCACTGTACATTGATGTCAACATAAGGTGAAACTTATTTTGGAGGAATTTCCACTTTTTTGAGCAGAACTAGGGGAAGAAGCCATTTGGTGTTGCATAGCATTTTAGTGCACCAGGTGGGTTTTCCAGGCACCAGGGGGCATTGTTGCTGTCATCAAGTGGGATTTGTTGATGGAAAGAGGGCAGTGATGTGCAATGGAGGCAAAGTGTAAGCAAGCCTGGGCAGTGGGCACTGAAGTGTCACTGCCTGAGGAAGCTGCTTTCTTCACAAGGAAATAGAGGTTTTCTTACCCTAAATTCACGATAGTGTCACTGTCCAAGAGTTGGGAGTTCTTTGGAAATGGAACATAGGGAAAAGACTCATGTAGGCTCAGGTAGATGTGGAGATGGTAGGCAATTTTATTCCCAGTTAATTTATTCTAGGCATTTTAAAATTTTTGTTTTAAAGTTTATTTAATCTCTCTGCACCCAACGTGGGGCTCAAACTCATGACCTGGGGATCAAGAGTCGCATGCTCTTCTGACTGAGTCAGCCAGGCACCCCATCTACCAGTCATTTTTTAAAATCCTGCTTTTTTTTTTTTTTTTTTTTAAGATTTTATTTATTTATTTGACAGACAGAGATCACAAGTAGGCAGAGAGGCAGGCAGAGAGAGAGAGAGGAGGAAGCAGGCTCCCTGCAGAGCAGAGAGCCCGATGTGGGGCTCGATCCCAGGACTCTGGGATCATGACCTGAGCCGAAGGCAGAGGCTTTAACCCACTGAGCCACCCAGGCGCCCCAAAATCCTGCTTTTCCATGCCAAGTCTCCTATGGAACTGGTACGAATTAAAGGACATGAATTGGAAAAGAGGCGGATCAGCATGAATACACCACAGTGGCCTAATTGTTAGAACTGACAGATGTCTTACTCATCTGTTCACAAAAGGTAAACAGGACAAAACAGTCCTCTTTGACCCTACCTGCGTAAATCTCGTTAAGAAATCTGTTTGAGAATGAGATTGTGTATGTGTATTTTACAAAGCACCATTCCCTTGCAGTAATCAGTTAGGTCCCATCTGTTAGGGAGGAGTGTGAGTGTGTGTGAATTCAGGCCTGCAGACGGCTTACCGTAAAGCCAAGACCCTCTAAGAATCTATCTACACTGGGACCACAGATAGTTTGACAGGTGTAATAGCCATCTTATTGGGTGTTAAGATGAGGGTCACATACATGAGATCAAGGCTTAGATTGAAGCCATCACCTCCCAAATGGTGACCAGGAAGGAAACTTTTAAGCTATAGCATAGACTCTAAGCCCCTTCAGATCTGCATCAGACCACTGCTAAAACAAGAAATACCAGCACCTCCTGTTCTTCATAGGTATGAAACAGATCCTTAAAGTCTGCAACCTGATCTACTCATAACTGTCAGCAGTTCTACTTTATAAAGTTTTTTAAAAGTTGAAAATAAAATGCAGCAAAAATTAAGACATGGCAGCTTCCAAAGCACAAGTCATATTTCACCCAAAATTTTGTTTTAACTTCAAGTAATAGTGTTTACTGTTAGTTGGTTTATAAAGCCATAATACTGGCAAGGTAAAGTTTCATTTAAACTGGCTTAATTCCTCAAAGTGTTAAGAATTTAGCAAGTAAAGCTATCAAATCTACAATCTCCCCAAATTTCAACGAAGTCATTAATTCTGTAGATTAAAATGCTGGCTTTCACCATTCCAACACAACATCTTCCCCAAGCGAAGTCAATTTCACATCTATCAACATGGTTTTCAGCCCTGGCTGGTTAACACAGTACTACAGAAATCTCTTACACTACCTGGTTAGATTTTAAGTGGAAACATGCCAGTAGAAGAATGGAAAGAGTCCACAAAAATGACCATTTGCCCCAGTGCTAGAATAGCTATGGTGTATTTAGAACAATGTGTGGATTGAAAATTAAACACTGGTTAAAGTCAGAGCCCTAGACCAAGAGAATGGTTAAACGTGAAAGATCTAAACTAAACTCACGGTCGTATTTAGAAGACGCTTTCAGCTTTAGTGCTGATTTCAAAAAGAATCTGAACCACCAGGGAGATGTATACTTACCCAGTAAAAAAACTAAGTTGCCATGGGAGATTCTGCTCCAAAAGTACAACCTCCTCACCTAATTAGGCCAGTAATTAGGCTGAAGGAACCAATTATCAAATGTGCTTCGAGCAGTGAGCTTTTTAAACACCCTTTGGTGAAGTCTCGTGAGCTCAGTGGAAACCTTAAGGTCAGAGTGAAAGAATAGGCTGTAAACAGCCCTACAGGTGAGTGGACTGGGTCTTCTCCCCTTCCACAGCCACTCAGCACCATCCCAGTCGCACCTGCCAGGGAAAAGGGCTGGGGGGCCAGGACAGGTTCTTTGAGCCTTCTCTTTTGCATATTACACAGTGCACTGGCTTGCTATACAATCTAAAGGTTCACATATAGGGGATTGTGTCCTACACTGCTTCCTGAAATTTTGTGCAAAAGAACCTCAGAACTAATTAATGAAGGCAATACTTCAGGAGGAACCATTTTTGTTCAACTTCTACTATAAGTTGGCCAGCATTAGGAAAAAAAGGCCCTTTCTGAACATTTTGTGCTCTCCCAACCAGCTGGAAAAGCAACCCTTCCACTCATAAGATATAACCCGATAGGGGTATAGTATATGTTTGAGAAGAGTTAGCACTCCCAGCCTACCCGAAGAGGACCGAGTTAATGTTTGGAACATAAAAGGGGTGGTGAGAAAGAACGGGGTACATAGTCTGCCTTGAAAAGCAGCCATTTGATGAATAGTCACAAATCCAAAGATTTTGGACATTACAGTAAAATTTCAGAACTTGCTGGTAAGAATAATTATCTTTCACACACATGAGATGAAATGCTTTCAAAAAGTCTGATACCAAATGTCCTTTACACTGTACACACCCATTTGCCACTCGAAATGACAAGGCGACATCCTTTCCCTTAATCTTTTCAATCCCATGCAAACCATAACGGTACAAGGCACCAAATGTTATGAATTGTATAAAATTAGTTCACAAAGCTTTATCAATAAGTAAAACAAACTCCATCTCCCCCTCCCTGCCTGCCCACCCACATCCCACCCCTCCACACCCAACCAAGTTTTCATTCTGTACTACCGTCAACCTCTCTCAGGCTTATGCAGGGGCCTGACTAGGGCCATCTATGCCCCACTGCCAGCCAATTCATCTTATTAGTTCTTGAGCTTGGATGAAGCTATAAGCATAGCCAGAGTAGGGAACTCATACAATCATTGACTCTAGAAGCCTTGCCATTAAAAACAAAAATAAATTCTTCTATTGAGTCCATAGGACACATTAACACTCCTACAGTTTTCTAATTTTATTCATGACATTCTAAGAGACATCTGGAAATTCTTTTCAGCGTGGCACTGCTCCCCTCAGCCTGAGAGGGGACTGGATCAAAACTGGCAAGAGCTCTGCCCACCATTTAATAAGAACTTCAGTTCCTGGCTGTTGAGGGCATTCCTAATTTTTTTTTTTTTTTTTAAACACTAGCACGGATGCTCACCTCAGAGGCAACCACAAGTATGAGGGTCAAACTAGATTGAGGTAAAAAATCCTTTTTGAGGGCCAGGGTGCATTCATCTTGGCTGGCTACAGCAGAAAGTAAACACACCAGCCAACTACAAAGGGTTCCTGGAACGGGACTCCAACTACTTGTCTGGGAGAAGCAGGCCCCGTAGGTTCAGATAGATCTCGGGTTTGATTTGGCGGCATCTAGTCAACGTCTACCTGGTTCTTACCTTCTTCTCTTTAGAATGTTTCAGTTTAAAGTGAGATGCAACTAAGAAATCCATCTACTTCCAATATGTAAATAAATTAAAGGCAAAGGGACATTTCCCTCACAACAGCCATTGGCTTATGCAGCAGGGAACTCTTTAATAAAAGTTTCCATAAATACTAACTTCTCAACAGCGTCTAGTGCTGCTGCCTCTGGGTACCTGAGGTGTCTGTGACTGCAGGGGCACCTTCCGAGAGTACGCAGCTCAGTGAGGACTCTGGTAGTGGTTTCTATTCCAACTCATTTTAAACAATTTTATGAACTTGTTAACGGGTGCTCAGCTAAGTCAAGCATTTCATTCACAAAGTCCTTAAGTCTGCTTAATAATTCTTATAAATATTTGGTATAAAACTATTTTTAAAAATTAAATTTGAAGATCTTTTAATTTTCCATTAAATGTTCATTTTTCTTAAGTTTCCCCCGGAAACAGCCTGAGGGATGAAGTAGATGCTCTATTAGTTCTTTTCCATTTGTAAGTTCTCTTTTTCTAGAATAACAAATACAGCATTCAAAGAAAGATGAGGCACAATTTATATTTTCCTTTTCACTCTCCTTGGAGTTTTTTGCTTGTTTTTTATGTTTTGTTTTGTTTTAATGGGCTTTTTCATTGCCACGAAAAGTCATCACCAAGACTGCCAACTTAAAAATGTGGATCTAGAGAGTATAGCTTTGCATCAGAGCCTCTGGCAGCATGGGCAGCTGTGACACTTTAAAACAGTGTCCAGGAGAGGGTGAGCCCGGGCCAAGCTTGTACAAAGAAGCCTGCAGTAGACAATATAAACCAAATAGCATAAAAAATGCCATACGCTATCGCTTCCAAATAAAAGCTAAATATTACAGAAACCTCACAGTGTTGGAAAAAGCAAGTTTAATTTAAAATATAGTCACTCCCCTTTCTTTATCAGGGTGAGCCATTTTCTGTCTGAATTTCCTCCATGTCTCAGTGCTGTCTGACAGGTCTTGTGGGAGAGTCCATCTCAAAAGAGGTCAACAGCAAATGCTACAGATCTGCTCTGGCTATGAGGCTCATCAACACCCCTAAGCTACGACCCTCATCTTACCCCCTCTTTTCCCAACCTCCCACACTTCCCCAACTCCCTCCACATCCGCTTCCTTCAAGTGACAACTGTACTTCTACCTGAATTGAAACACTGGGTTGATACACTCAGTCAGAAGATGAGCTTTCACAGTGACAGGCTGAGGCGGGCTGCAGCAGCCCCACAGTGGGAGTTCCGGGCTGCATTCACTCTTACTGCAGGACTGAGAAAGGAAATTCAGTGGTGCCTGATGAGAAGGAGGGTTTCCATCTGGGCAATTTCATCCCACTTAGAAACTGACCCAGTATAAAAAGAAATATGTATTTTACTAGCACTTAAGTAAAAGACAGGGCACTCTTTTTTTCTTTTTTTTCCCCCCTCAGATGGACTGAGTGTAGGAGGGTAAAGAAACAGTAAGGATTATCAAATTTGGGAGGGAACAGGCTGGGGCCAGTAGCAATGAACTGTTCAGACATATGGGGGCAGATTCCTAAGCCCTAGAAAAGCGTAAGTTCCCAAACCTTGTGCTGAACAAGAAGGTTCCAAGCCCTCCTTGGAACTAAAAGCTAAAAGCGAGCTAAAAGCTACAGGCTAAGAAAAGTTGTGTGCTGCACAAAGGTGAGAACAGGTGATGGGCATTCAGATAAGGCCTGGTCCACCAGCTATCCCTGCCTACTCTCAACTGAATTCTGGGCCAGCCTCAGACAACTGACCTAAAGACCAGTTTATACCAAACCATGTGCTTGTCCCATACCTGAACCAGGGATATGCTACAGAACTGGGTAGCCAGGGGCGTCCTTCTGCTTGGCATGCAACTAAGAACATGTCATGGACCAGTTGATTGCTTCCCCATAGGAACTGCTCCTTTAGAATGAAGGGATGTTCAGAAGACGTGGAATGACTCAATGACAGCAGCAGCCAGGGAAGGTAGGACACTTGAAAAACCTCCCGTTTTGCATGGGGAAACTTGCTCTATGCATCTCATTCCACTCTTTCACTGCTATTCCCTAAAAAAGGAAGTCTGCAAGTTGTCAGCCCTTGAGGGTTACTTCCTTTGTGGGGACAAATCCTTATTATTCACTTCCTGCCTTGGAACCAATCCCATCCAGCAAGCTGCCAGCCCAGGGCCCCACCTCACATGCTCTGTCCAGGGCTGTTCACATCAGGAGGGTTCTTCTGGGGTCACAGGGAGGTCCTGGTTAATGGGGGAATCACATAATGGAAAGAAAACATGGCTGCTCTCCTGGCTGCATATGATCCATTTACCCCCTCTTTCCTCCACCCAGATCCTCTCTATTCAGAAGCAACTGATGAAAGAATCTTCATAGAAGTTACTCCTTCTGTTTTATCAAAGGAGGGAATTCCAAATCCATTCAAGAGAAAGTGACTACAGATTTTATGATAGAACATGAGTCACCTAGCACCTTCTGCTGTAGTCCCAGTGAGGCAAACCTAGTACTCTGTTCCTGCACTAAACCTTATTTCCTGTAAGAGGAAAGATATATGAACACCAATAGTTTAAAAGCAGGCCAGTCCTTGAAACGTGCCTCCCATTCAGGGGATGAGCCGTGGTCTGCCCTCATCGTTGTTGCTGGACTGCACCTGAGCTTGGAGTTGGTTTTCTGAAATTCCTGCATTGCCCTGAACTGTTCTTTGAGTGTAAAAAAGGATGTAGGCTTGAGTTTTGCACACTTCCTCGACACTGCATACATTCAGCTTTGAGTCATTGCAGTGGACCCAAAAACCTAGGAAACCAAAGGAAAAGAGAGAAAGTGACTACCCAACTTGTATTTCCAATCAGCAGGCAAAACCAGGAGATGAAGAAAGGGACAGAGGAGTTCAGAATAGAACCAGCCCCTGACTGGTAGTGGGGGCGGGGAAGGGGGGGCCGGGAAGATTGGTAAATGAAACCAACAGACTTCCCTGCCACCACCGGCTTCAACTCCGCCCAAGCCCACCGCATTACTACTTACAATCAACGGACTGTAATTTTTGTCCTCATTTTATTCAGGCTTTTTCATTGCCCACTAGGGCCTTCTACAAAGGCAGCCTGAAGACTGGGAGCTAAGAGATGGGAAGAGGAGAGGCAGAGGTGAACTGGACATGGAGGAGTGGTAAAGGGAAATTTAGAAATTCATCCTGGCCGCCTTAAGGGCTGCAGCGTAGCCCATCCACCTCAGTGCACAGTAGCTGGGAGGCTGTGCTCTGGAGGGACAAGGACTGAAAGCTCCTTAGGCGGGACCTTGTACCCCCATACCTCCTATGATAAGGACATAGAAGTGCTCAGGAAATGTCTTCAGCTTTATTATCAGCCACGGCTGGTGAAATTAATACAGTATCTCCATGAGGTTATGAATAGCATTTCTGCATAACCACGAAGGAAACAGAGGTCTGCAGAAGTATTAATAACAATGAGAAACCTCTAAAATTAATTGAACATTATGTTCTAGGAACCGTGCTAAGTACTTTTACATGTGTTGGTTCCTGTCCATTCTTAGAACAACCTTCTGTTTTCATTTGGTGATATATCCAAAATCTGAACCCCTCTTTCACAGCTTTTTCCACTAGATTTTCATGTATGTAATATCCCCCTATAGATGAAATAAAAGGAAAGCGATGGAATGTGGACACACCAACCCTTTTCCGTGTTCCCCCACCCCACAGAGTCGAGCGCACGCACCTCCCTCTGTGTTGTAGCAATAGGCTGTGTAGTGTCCTGAGCCAAACCCTTTCCCGTGATGCATGACCACTGCGGAGAGATCATAGGCAAAGGTCTCTTTGTCAAGAGAGGAGAGCATGTCCCTGCAGCAGTAAGGTTCCATGGTTAATACCTGGTCAAAGACGACATGGACCCCAATCTTCTCTCGATGATTACGGCCAGACCACCTAAAACATGGATAGAAAGTTCTTACTAGTAAAAAAATGCCATATGTTATCCTAGGAAGAGGGAGGTAAAACAGGGAACTGAGAATACATAACCTTCCAGATGTGGCTTTTGCATCAATAAAACAGTGATCAATGTCCACATGTATTTCCTGTGAGTGTTCCATAATGTATTCTGAAACTAGAAATCCCTAAAACAAGCAGTTCAGGCAGTAATCTTTTTGTAGTTTACTGCCTGCCCTTCTTTTCACAGATTATGTCATATTTGGTCCTGAAGGTGATTCCTGATAAGCCCAGGTCAGGCTAGAGAATCTCCACACGCAGACACCCAGTGCAGGCTGGCTGGTGGGACAGAGCCGTGCAAGCGGAAGCCCTCTCCTGCCCGCTGCCCCGCCCCCCTTGAACATGGCTCACGGGGCAGGAAGCATTTAATCACTATAGAAAGTGCAAGGTCTCTAGGGAACAGGCTTCTCATCCCAGCACCAAAGAAGACATCCACCCTCACCAAAGCCTTTGAGGCAGCTGTCCCCACAGCTCACGGCCACCTGGAAGGCCCCAAAGCAAGCTCACCTGAATCTTTTAAGGTGCAGCCGGAGGACCTGAGGTAGTCTGTAGATCATTAACTGCTTTCTAGCTTCACTCAGAACAAGGGGTTTGGGATTGGATTTTCGTCGTTTGCCTATATGGTTTGGAAAGGTATAAGATACAGATTGTCAGGAGTCTCGTTCTTTCTTGGCTATGGCAGAGACTATGACTTGCCACCCAATATGCCTTCTTATTTCTCAGTACTAGGACCTCGTTTTATCTGGGGCAGTGCTGTGACCCCTTGTCAGTCTGCATTTCCCAGCCCCACATGCCCGCCTGGTATGGCCACAGCAGTTCTCCCAGACACGGAAGGGATGACCATGTGATGGCACTCTTAGGGTGCCAAGGTGACTGCAACTGCTCTTGGACCACGAGGTAACCTTGGGGAAGGAAGCCTTGAACTAGTCACGTTGAAAGGTGGAAAGAGCTCGGGTCCCCAGTGACCATGCAGCTACTATGCTAGTCCCTGAATGTCCTTCAGACTTCTTTTATAGAACAGAAAAATAATTATACCTCATTTTAAAGTCATTATTTGAGTTAACTGAAAACAACCAAACCTAATCCTAATATATATATCCACTTCCAATTTTTTTTTAAAGAGATTTTATTTATTTATTTGACAGCGATCACAAGTAGGCAGAGAGAGATGGGGAAACAGGCTCCCTGCTGAGCAGAGAGCCGGATGCAGGGCTCCATCCCAGGACCCTAAGATCATGACCTGAGCCGAAAGCAGAGGCTTAACTCACTGAGCCACCCAGGCACCCCTCCACTTCCAAATTTGTGCAGCAGCAACCTCCAAAACTGGTATGGGTTTTGGGTGGAATATTCCCAATATCATGGATTTATTAATGGAATATACTGGAAGGTCACTGCAATAACACGCACACAGAGTAGATGCACATGTCAGGGTTCTATGCCTTTATATATGGGCTTATGACTTAAATTGTGATCCACCAGAATGTAATTTTAAAAGTTTTTGTTTTCATCAAGTAGGCCTAATTCTATTTCCTGCTCACAGCTAGTTGTATGCTGTTCAAAACTCTCATCTTTAGTTTCCTCTCCTGTAAAATGGGAATAATGCATATATTTCAGGCTTGGAAAAAAAGTAAGAGGGCACAGGATTGCCAAAGGACAGGATATTTAAATAGATTCTTTCTTCAGCATGATTTGTTTGTGACGTATACAAATGCTTACAAAAGAAACTGCTAGTTTTATAGTTTTATGCTGTATCTAGTTTTTGAAGCATGTTTCTTGGATAAAAGCACACGGCTGGACATGGGAGGAAAAGGTGGACAGACTGGCCAAATTCATCCAGTCCAAAGCAGAACCAGTGGTCAGACTCTCATTTTGTTTCTAAAGCTACTGAATTGTGAGGGGGAATGCATTTCTAAATTACATCAGATAAACAATGGAAATAAAGTTCTCTTAATTTCCATGGGAAGCCTTCTCTATACCCATTTACTGACAACTGCTCGGTTTTTATATTAATTAGACTGGTGAATGGATGGGAATATAAAACTAGTGGTCCTCTGTGGTACCTGCTAATTATCTTTGAGATATCATGGTCTCAGTGTCTAAAGGGCTTGACATCTAAGTCCGGTCTATACCACTCATGAAAGGCAGCAAATCACAGCCAAATGATGCTTCACAGGGCTCCCTGGGACAATTGGACGTGGGGCTGCTGGTTCTCATAACAGGCTGTAGCAGATGAGTGTGCCAGAGAACATTTCAGTAGGGCTGGTGGTCATGATATGTGGGGCAAGAACAGAAAGAAAATTCAGAGGGGTGCCTGGCCTTCTTTTACATTCTAATTCCCCAACAGATTTTCAGAAACTATTGCAGTGCCTCCTGGGAACCCTGGCAAGTGACTGCCACTCTCAGTAGAGGGAGTCTGTGAGCTAAGATGAAGACAATACAGAATCGGCTTTGTTTCCCTAAAATGAAATTCACAAAGAAAAAGAAATTACTGATTCAACTGAGATTGATCAGTTCTGTCTCCATTTGATTAAGTTGGCCATGTGGAGAGGTAGAAGCCTGATAGTTTTTAAACTTCACAAGCACATTACAACAATGCATCTCGTACCTTTCGCCATAGCTTTCCTTCCCTACTATTTGAGCTTGCCTAGTGAAATCCTGATACATTCGCGTATCTGGCAACCAGAAAAATAATCCTTTCTTGCAAAAATAAATAAAAGTATTTCCTCCTTATTCCGCCTTGTCCGAGAATGATGGGAGTTAAAGCTGTTAACATCCTTCTGTTCCTCACAAGTAAAAAGCTTTAGGAATCACTACCTTAAAAAAAAAAACAGATACTGTTCTAATAAGGTAATTTAAGTCACAACCTTTATATCTCGATAAGGAACAGGGCAGGTGACTCTGTAGTTAACCAAGTACACCATATCAAATTTTGTTTAAAAATGGGAGAATAATATCAAGCATGATTTTTTGTTTTTGTCCTGCCTCTTCAAGGACAATAGGTTTCCCAGAGTTCACTATTTTAAAAGACCATATATGCAAATATTTTAATAAGGGTTATCATAAAATTGTGGTTCTCAAAACTTGTAGTCCCAACTATTTTATGGGTGCAAATTGATCTCAAGACATCTATACAATCCATTAATTTTAGTTTCCAAACCCAAATTCGAACTTCCAGGTATTTGCTCTGCATTTCCTCTGTCCGTGCTGGGTCAGCAAACGCACTAAGTGGTAGTGTGGCAAGACAGAAGGAGCTCTGCATAAGGTACCTACATAACCACGTGGAAAGAGTTCCACTTTAAAATGAAAGCCGTGACAGAGAAATACTGTCTTACGACCTTCCCCAGATGCATGGCATGTGAAGGCATGTGAAGAAACAAATGCAGAAAGTAACCATGAAGCGGATGCACCTTCTGGCTTGCCTTCCTCGTCTCATACCAATCTATAGCATCGATTCTGACAGGCTTAAAATCTGCAAATACCTACAAGGCATATGTTTCTGATACTGTAACCCTCAAACAAGCAATGCTACCTGACTTGAGATGAAATAAAAACTGTCAGATCAATATTCATGAATTTAATCAGGACCTTGTAGCACTACAAAGCTAAGCACTCACATTCTTAGAGGCTCATTTCAGAACCCACACTTGCAAATGCCTCCCAAGATAAGAACTAATGTCAATCACAGCAGGAGTCAAAAGAAGCCCAACTCTTAGGTTTTGTTTTGTTTTATAACAAATGATGTCCACACGCTTGTTTTCAGGAAAATGGGAGAAAAAAAATCTTTAAAAGATGCTTTAGAACCACTCAATATTATCAGTGTTACTTTGGACTAAAAGGGCAAAAACAGCACCTTACACTGACAGTCCAGATGCATGTTTCCCCTCTCCCTCTCCACTTCTACCCCCCCAGCACTCACTGTTACACTGGTCACAAGCGTAGATTCTCCCTTCCAGGGCCTCTGTCTCTGTGAACTTGGCCAGCATCTCAGTGAGCAGGCACTCTGTCTGATTCAAAGGGACAAACCCCTTTTCTATGCAGTGATACCGTTCAGGGAATTCCAGGGACAGATCCCAAAAGGGCTCAATGGTATTGGATTTGTAATTGCATGATACACATGTGACCTAGAATGAAAAAATTGATTTACAGGTTACATAACCTCCATGCTTCCCACATACATTTTTGCTCAATTTATACAAAACACATAACTTACCAAAACTAAGTGTATAGTTTTCAAAAAATTTTTAATTATAATATTAAAATAATAAATGTAACCTTAAGAGCATTAGAGCATATTACTGTCAGTATACATTTCTAACTATGATGCTGGCTGGAACTGGAAAACCACATAGCACAGAGATTATTACCTACCCCTTTCTCTCTTCTCTCCTAAAGCATGCTCTACCATTCAGTGCTGCAGCAGTACAGACTGGGTTATCATGGGACCATTCTCAGATCAGTCTGAGATAGAGAATTAGCAGATTCTTATCTGTTTCTCTTGTCGTCATTCCTTCCTCATCCAAACCTTGCTGCTTCTACCCACTCCAACTTGCCTCTTTTTTGCCCTTGTTTCTGGCGGTATCCTTATATGAGACACAAACCTCTGTAACATAATGTAGAGATTTTACTTGAATCCATTACTTTGCCCACCTTTCTAACTGTAAAAATTCTTTCTGCAGATTTCTACAAAGTCTTACCCAAGAGTCTTTTCTTATGTCCCTACATGGCCTATGATACAGCAAATGAGAGGTAATGGGGAATAAAAGGGCTTGCTTAGGCCTTTGGCAGCCTCCTAGCCATCTCCCTTCCCTGTATGTAGAGAATGTTCTGGAAGGAAGAAGGCTCTTTCAAACTACTGTGAAACCAAGGTTATAGGCAAACTGTTCAATTTCCTAAAATTGATCAAAGATGGCATGCCAGCAACAGATTCTTAATTATAACAATGAGATTATATCACCAATACTGTCATTAAAGGTTAAAGACATTCACTGAAAATGACACGATATGGCAAATTCAACCGAAGATCTGCCCAGACAGAGGAGGCAAGTTCACCAACAAGGCCATAAGAGCACACAGCACAACCGAAGGTACAATGGCCACCCTCTGATACGCATCATGACTGCAAATGCTGGCTCTCTTAGTCCGTCCAATAACCTGGCAGAGGCACTCAGGGAAGCCCCAACTAACCAGTAAGACTCCCTGCCATGTGATGGGCGGGGCAACCTACCTGACTGAGTAGCTGCCCGTGGAATATGGTGTTCACCACCTTTAAGACCTGTTTGGTGAGCTTCCTCTGGGAGAAGGGGATGAGGATCCGGCGCGTGGTGCCCTCAGACTCGAGTTCCTGCTGCACTTTGTGCAGCAGCTCGCACAAGAACTCCTGCGCGTCCTGCTGGTCATAGCCGCGGAAGGCGGGGATCAGGCTCCACACGGAGTGAAGCATGGCGAAGGGCGACACCAGGGCCCACTTTCCGGACCACATGACTCGGAAAAGGGTGTGCAGTTCGTGACAGAGGGAAATGTGCTTCGAGCTCGGCTCCTTGTTCTGGATGAGTTCTAGGCTCCTGCTGATGGAGGCCCCGCCATTGAAGCAGAGACCCTCCCGCTCGCACGCGTCGGCCCCCTTGCTCCTGGCCGACAGCTCGGTGGCGGAGCTGCCGGCCGGCCTGCCGGAGAGCGGAGCCTTCCCGTTGGGGGCCTTGGGAAACAGCTGCTGGGTCTGGGAAGGGTCGAGGTTCAGAAAACATTCGCGGAACTTCTGGAGGTGGCTGAGCACCTGCAGGATGGAGTTCATGTAGCAGGTGTTGCCCAGGTTGCGCAGGCCCGTGACGCCCGGCGCCATGGCGGGCGCGCGGCGCGGCGGCGGGCGGCCCCCGGCGGGCGCGCGCGGTGAGGCGGGGCGCGGGGCGTCGGCGGCGCGCGGGGCGTGCAGCAGCAGGCGCGCGCTCTTGCGCGGGGGGGCGCTGGCCAGCTCCTCCAGCAGCCTCCGCTTCACCTCGCGCCGCCGCTGCCGCGCCTCCTCCTTCTTGCGCTCCAGCGCCTCCTCCTGCCGCCGCTGCTCCAGCTTCGCCTGGCCGCGGGAACTCTTCTCGAACCAATGCCGCAGCGTCTTGGCCAGCAGGCGCTGGCGCCGGTACCACAGAGCCGTGAGCATCTGCGGCTGTCCCTGAGGAGCGCGCTGCGGCGGGACGGCATCCTCGCCGGCAGCCATGGACCGCAGCGTCCGGCCGCGCCTCAGCGGCGGGTCCTGCTTCTGGCCCCTGACCGCCAGCAGGGAGCTTCTGAGCAGCTTCAGGTCCCCCTCCGGGTTGTCGTTGAGCACGTAGTCCTTGCACAGGTAGCAGAACACGTACAGATCCCGGACCTCCATGGCTAGCGGGTGCCCGGTCTCCTCAAAGTGTTTCAGGGCGTGATCTTCGATGTAGCGGCCGCAGGCCACGTGGGAGCACTTGAGACAAGCCCACACCGACTCGGTGGTGGCGCACTCCCGGCAGCACCACTTCTGTGGGTTCAGGATGGAGTGGTCCTGGGCGAGCCGCAACCGCCCGACATGTTTGCATCTATCCATGTCTCAGAGAAGGCTCCGCTCTTTCAACCTGGCACGACAGAGCCCCCGGAAAGAGAGAGAGAGAGCTTTCAGCAAAATATTTTCCCAGGAAAAGGCTTGCAACTGCCATTTTCAATTTAATGCTCATTACATTTTAATTCAAAATTGGTTCCATTGGAAGGAGGTTAAAAAAGACAAAGTAAGAAAGAAATACTGGGGGGAGGGCTTAGCACCAAGTTGAATCTTTACATTTTCTAAGCCTGTACTAATTCTTGAATATCAGCTAATTTTTATGCGAGGCTAACTGGTATTCCTGAGGAAACGGCATTACCCTTAGTTCATATTGCACCCAACTGGCCACCAGGGGAAGGAAACTTGTATTCTGAACCATCTCTGAACTGAAGATGTCCTGGAAGTGAAAGCCTCTATATCTTGTACTGATCAAGATCCTAGTTGTATGCACAAAGGGACAGAGGGCAGGACATGTTTTGTACACCAGTGAGAGATGAAGACCCTCAAAAAGTCAATCTTAGGTCCGTTTCAATGTACTTCAAAGCAAAGGTAACAGGATAAGATAAAGGTACGAAAGTCCTCTACAGTACAAAGTATCATTTTTTTTTTCTTGAATCCAAACACCCTAAGGAGGTAGTGTGTGAGCCTCAATCTAAACAATTTTTTTAAGTAGGCTCTATGCCCAATGTGGAGTTCAAACTCACAAGCCCTAGATCAAGAGTCACATGTTCTACCAACTGAACCTGCCAAGTGCTCCAATCTAAATACCATTTTATAGGTCTACTATGGTTGAATGGTTGAATGTTTGTGTACCCCCTTTCATATGCTAAAATACCACACACACACACACACACACACACACACACACCCGGCAATGGCACTGAGAGATGAAGCCTTTGGGAGATGATTAGGTCAAGAACGGGTTGACCCTCATGGGATGAACCTTCACTAATGGGATTTATAAAGCAGTTCCCTCACCTTTCACCCATGTAAAGACACAACAAAAAGCCAACGTTATGGTCACAAACCAGGAAGTCCTTACCAGCCATGGAATCTGGAGCCATGATCTTGGACATCCCAGCCTCCAAACTGCGAGAAATGTTTGCTGTTTATAAGCCACTCAGTCTATGGTATTTCTGTTATAGCAACCCTGAGAGCCTAAGATAATGTGAAAAGAAAATGTACGTCTTGTAGAAAGGGTGGGAAAAGGTTTACTTTCTTTACTGAAAGTATAGGTAAGTACAGAATTAGATCTGACTTTTAGGACAAGTGGTGGAGTGGCTACTGGTTTAACCAAACTATCAAGCCAAAAGAAAAAAAAAGCAAATCTTCCAGATTATATATGTGAAAATGCTTTTTTAAAAAGGTAACAACATATTGAGCTTTTTTCCCTTTTCTTTCCTGTCTTCCTAACATTGCTTCTAATGTTGTTCCTCAGATAAGCCTAAGGAGCAGTTTCTCCAAGAAGAGGCTAGACGATTATTTTAAAAGAAAACTTTTTTTTTTAATATTTTATTTATTTATTTGACAGACAGAGATCACAAGTAGGCAGAGAGGCAGGCAGAGAGAGAGGAGGAAGCAGGCTCCCTGCTGAGCAGAGAGCCCGATGCAGGGCTCTATCCCAGAACCCTGGGATCATGACCAGAGCCGAAGGCAGCGGCTTTAACCCACTGAGCCACCCAGGCACCCCTAAAAGAAAACTTTTTATTCTTTGGAACCTTAACAGTTTTTCCCCCCAGTACCAGTATTTGAAATTCCCTAAAGATAGTTCCTCTTATAAAGTGAACTTCCTTCACCCCCATTTCTTCTCCACTTTCATTTCTATGAGCAAATGAAGTTCCATGATTATGGAGTCACCCAGAGAAGTTTTAAATCTACTACACTATGAGTAGTCCCTTTAGTTGGTTTCCAGATGCCCTTTTTGGCCTGGTACTATTGCCAAAACCCTCACAACTATACCACGGGACCAAATTAGAGATCCTTCCCATTTTTTATTGCCCATTCCAGACTGCCAAAGGCCAAGTCGCTAGATAAGAAACCTTTAAAATCATACAAAGGAAGCAACCTAGATGATTTTCAATCAGATTAGATCATGCTTTTCCATTGAGTTCTTTCAGGATTTAGTTTTTCCTACATTATTTTTCAAATTATTGATTTGTTACTAAGTGCCCTTTTCGGTCAGCTCTCTGGATGTATTTATCCATTTCCAAACCAGTTATCATCTTCAGAGAGAAGACCATGTGTTATATTTCTTTTTTTACTCCTTTATAATTTTGTGGGTGCTCAACTCTTAGTGGTCAAAGGGGTTCTATCAGAATTACCTTCCCACACAGTCCAGAATGGTACTGAAATAACCATTTGTTTACTTTTTATGGGGCACAGCCAAATTAAAACACATATACATTAAAAGATGAGATGGTAAATAACTGAATTTTCTTTTTGTTACTTACTACCAATCAAGAGCTCAAGTTGGCTACGTATGATGTTTACAACCAATTACTGGGGACACAAATGAAAGTCAGTAATGGAAGAATGAAGGGGGAAAGAATCAAGAGACTGGCAATTCCCAAGTTTCTCACTTACTATTTTAAAAAATGTAGTTCCTGAGCCACTTACCAGCATCAGAATTCCCTAGGATAATTATGTACAGATTTCTGGTCACAACTCCAAACCTGATGAATGAGACTCTGGGGAGGGGTCTCAAATCTCTATTTTAAATAAGCCCTACAGATGACCCACCTATACATTAAAAACCTTAGAACCACTGCACTAATCCAATAAATTATTTAGGAATGAAGGTGTCCTCATAGAAACCAAAGAAAGAATTTTCTTTCTCAAAATCTTCTACTTTAGGTGCCTGGGTGGCTCAATGGGTTGAGCCTCTGACGTCGGCTCCGGTCATGATCTCAGGGTCCTGGGATCAAGCCCCGCATCAGGCTCTCTGTGCTCAGTGGGGAGCCTGCTCCCCCCCACCCCCGCCTTCCTCTCTGCCTACTTGTGATCTCTCTGTCAAATAAATAAATAAAACCTTTTAAAAAAAATCTTCCACTTTGGCTAACATTGTCCAATAGAACTTTCTGCAATGAGGGAAATATAATTTATCTGTGTTGCTTAATACCATATTAACTAGCCTTGTGTGCCTGAGTACTTGAAATGTGGCTAGTGAGACTGAGGGACTGAACTTTTAAATTTATGTAATTCTACTTAATTTAAATTTATTTTATTTATTTTTTTAAAGATTTTATTTAGTTCTTTGACAGAGACAGATCACAAGTAGGCAGAGAGGAAAGCAGAGAAAGGAGGAAGCAGGCTCCCTGCTGAGCAGAGAGCCCGATGAGGGACTCGGTCCCAGGACCCTGAGATCATGACCTGAGCTGAAGGCAGAGGCTTTAACCCACTGAGCCACCCAGGCGCCCTTAATTTAAATTTAAATAGTGGCTGCATGTGCATAGTGGCTGCAATACTGGATAGCACAGACTTAAATACCCCAGGACATATGATCTTTAGCTCACTTGGCTTTTCTTTTTGTTTTCTTTCCCTCAGAAGATTCAGCACTTGCTGAATCGTATCTGAATAGCTTCTTCTTATGACTCAAAACCTGGCAAATCCCCATTTTAGCTGAGCCTTGATGTGTCTTCAGGAATTTAATTGTTATTGAGATCTTATCACATGAAACACAGCACAGCTTCAAATCCTATAAAGAGACTATCTCTGTGAACAGGAACACAGTGACACAACACCCAGAACACTGATGCCTTTGCAAGATCAACTCCTGTGCTAGAAAAAATATGCTGCAACCACCAAAAGCCAAAATAGAAAAACACTAAAAAACCATTCCACACCCTCTCCGTGGAGAGCTATCAAATGGAAAGGGCACTCTGGAAATTCTTCCGATTTCATTTTCTGATCTATAAGTCTGCTGATCACGCACATCCCTTCCTGCACAGCCCTTTTCCCATTACAAATCTGTCGTGGTGACTCACTAACCTGCCATATGGCAGAGTAAATCCATTCAGGAAAACATGGGGCTACTTTGCACCTCACCACAGTGATTTAAGCTAGGCAGACTAGTTTCTCTAAAGAAAAAACGTATCCAGATCACAAAATGGAAACCACCCCAAAGTGACACACAAAAAAGCCCCTTTAACCAACATACAAAATAAAGAATAAAGAAAACATAATTCAAGTATACTTAGTTCAAGAAAGACAATGTTTAACTTACCTCTCATATATACTGACCACTTTATTTAAAAACAAGGCCTAACACCCACAGGCATAAAGAATTCCATTTTACATTTTTCTGACATGTACACCTTTTTTCCTTCATAAATCCCAAAGCTCATAAGAGTCCTAACATTTCCACTTAAAACAGACATCATCCAGGGTGACAAGTACCCAATATCCAAGAGATGAACTTGCAGCATGACTGGCAAAGAACAAGAAGTGCCTTAACAGTTCTCCATCATTAAGCAGATCAGCAACTTTCAATGACTGTCTTGTACACCCTGGGTTGATGTGCATATGGGGTAAACTTGACAAAATATTAGCTTTAGCTTCTTTAATTACCATAATTTCATTTTAAAAATACTCAAATGGAGCTAAAAGACATAATCACTATTTAAAAGTATTCTACTATAGTTAGTATCACTAAATATTAAATTAAAAGGTAATGAAATCTTCAATTCATGCCTTTTGTTCTGCTAAGAAACTTCTAGACTTATCCCATTTTTTAAAAAGTCTCTGTATGAGATGACTGAATATTACAATCATCTTTTAAGAATCTATAGTTTAAAAATATGATTGTCTTTTAATTGGACTAGTCCAATTGTTCTCCTGTAGCAAATTTCTTAGCTGATCCTAAATGTGTAACTGCATCATCAGAATAAAACTTCTGGGGGAGAAATCAACAAAAACCAAATAGGAAAAAAATAATCTCCTTTGGGGAGATTTCCATTTCTTTTCTCTCATAATATTGATTTCTTTTCAGTTCTTAACTAAGGACAGTGGAATAATCCTGCCTGGTCTTGGTGAGACCAA